AGGAAGTATCTATAACCCGGGAAATCTTAAGGAGGTTTGGATTTAACCACCAAAATTCCCCCGGCGGGGATGGGGGCTGGGGAATTCTGGGAGTTAAAGTCCACACATCTTAAAATTCCCAAGGTTGATAAACACTGGGTTAAGGTATTGGACCAGTAATGAGGAGACCCAGATTCAAATCTACCCTTGGCCATAGAAGCTCTCTAGGTGACTTTGGGCTAGTTTTCCTCACAGAGTGTGGAGAAAAATAAGAGGAGGGGATGCTATGTATGCCACCTTGAGTTACTGAATGAAAGATGGGATATAAACCAAATTAAAATTAATGGAAGGAAGGAAGGAAGGAAGGAAGGAAGGAAGGAAGGAAGGAAGGAAGGAAAGATTGCTTTGTCTTTTCACCTGCATGTAATGCCTCTGGTGTCCAAGCAGATGCACTTATAATTATGTGAGGGGCAATAATAAGAGTTTCTCTGAGATTTTTTATTGGAAGGACTACCTTGGCTCTTGTAATCTAGCATTGGCCAAGATCTCTCTCCCAGCTCTTGTAAACTGTCATCCTTTCTTTCTGTCTGCAGGCCTCAGAGCAAATGAACAAGAACAACAAGCAGCATTGAGAGTAGCAGAGAACTTCATCTCACAAATGAAATATCCCCAGAACACTCAGGTAAGGCTCCCTCAAGCCTGGACAAACCATCTTGCAAAATGTCCAGAAGGTTTTAATAAAAGAATGATACACCTCTACTGACAGGTGTGTAGAGGGTTTAGGATGGAAGGTTAAAGGGAGGGAATGCTGGAGAAAAGCAGCAATGCAGTGGTGTTTTTCAAACATCTGAAGAGTTCTTGAAGAGAAGTGTGCAAGGATTTGTTCTCTGCTTCTCTAGTAGCAGGACTAACTCTAATGGGCTTCAAGCTACACGTTTTAGATGAATATTAGGAAAAAAACAAAATGAGGGGAGCGTTAGAAAAATCCTGAGGCTGTGGTTACACTTTTGAGACATCACTAGCCTCGTTCCCACTGAATGAAGACAACAGGGAGATGAGTTTTTGCTCTTCTCCATATCTCATCTGCTTTTAATCTGGTTCCAGGTACAGATCCTGCCTCAAGGCCGTGAAAGTCTGCTCTTCAAACAATTCTTCACAAACTGGAAGTGAAAGCTAGTGTCTCCCCCTATGCTGGCAATATTTTGTGACTGTGCCTTTCTGCCACATCAACCCCTTCAAGCCTTATTAAATTGGAGCCACTGTGTCCTCCTTTCAGTCTGTTTTTGACCAGCCCAACCCCTTTTATCAGCATCTCTGCATCCCAACCATGGATGAAATCATCTATTTCCCTACCTTTAACCTTCTGTATTGTGGTAGCGGAAGGGCAACCTTAACTATAGGGCTCTTCTCTCTTAATTTTCTGGCCCAGTTCATCCCAATTGTAATCTTCCTTTTCCTCTTTAAGTCTAGAATATGATAGGTAACAACTTTAGAAGTGGAATGCAACATTCTCATCTCTGCTGGAAATAGAACATTTTGATGTGAATTACGAAAAGGCTGTGGCTGCGTTCACACATTGCACTGAACCAGAACCAAACCAGTCACATTTATAAGCTGCAAACCCAACTTTGTACAGTGTGCTGGTTATTACTATCTAATGATAGTGTCACTTCCTTGCTTGCTTCATTAGCTGTAGTCAGTGGCTTGATTCATACCACTCACTGAATTACCCATTTTCTGTTTTCATATAATATATTGAATCATAAACTAACCAAGCAGGCAAGGTTTGGCCCAACCAACCAACTCTAGCTTAATCCTAACCAAGTTTAGCATTTTGTTTGAACACACTTATTAGGTTATGTGTGTTGTGTAAACATAGCCAATGGGTTTTTCATCTCCAGTAATGGTATGCATTTGATCATTCTAAGCACAATCAAAGTTGTATAATGTCATGTTGACTTTAATAACTTTCCTCCTGTTCCCATGACTTGTGGGGCCCATTCTGTGTCTTTCTCCCCACCTGGAACCCAGGGAATACCCCCATCGCCTTTGGTGGGACGAGAAAGATGAATAGCAAGGGAGGCAGAGGTCATGAAGAGAGTCTAGACATATCCTTTTGGCAGGAAGCAAGGACCGAAACATCTCTATTCTCAGACATGTTAAGTTGCTATTCAAGTCTATGAACAGTCAAAATTGCCCGGTGGGTTGGATCTGGTTCCATCTGTCACGCCTGCTTCAAACAGCAAAGACCATGCTCCTATCCACCCTCTAGGCATCCTTCATCTTTCAACCATCTCTCTTTCTCTTTCTAGTTGTAGGCCACAGTGAAACTTTGTTGATTAGCTTGACAGGCTCTGACAAGCAAGACTGTATCATTCCACAGCTGGGCTGATGGGGCCAACATCAAAAGCAGCAACTATCACCTGCTCCTGCTGGAAATAAAAAATAGTGGGGGAGGAGGACTCACTGTTTCCTTTCCAAAACAAGTGACTAAATAAGTTCCACCAGACCATCTTTTGCCTAGGGAGAACTTTTACAACATAAAAAGAATTGACCAGTCAGGGAAGAGATGTCTTTGGTTCCTTCTCAAAAAAAGAAAAAAGAAAAAAAAAAGAGCTCCATATTTTCAATTTCCTAGACTCTGCTAAAGCTTTTTTGTCTTATGGTTGGACATTCTGATTCCTTTAGGGTCCTTCTTCCAGCTCCTTTGTTATTTTACAGAAAAGTTGCTATTTGAAGGTGCCCTGCTCCACATGCAGGCCTTCGATACCCACTTTGCCCTCCTGTTCTAGCAAAGTGAGGCCCCCACGCCTTGAAGGACGGCAGCCTCAGCCTGCATCCCAAGTGCTTGTCACTTTCAGTTTCATCAGGATGGCTCTTTTTTCCAGCCACAGATGTGCAACGTGACCATCTCAGTGCCTCAAATGATGCTCATAGAAAGGTACATAGGGCAATCCCCAGGCAATATTCCTCATCCATCCTAGGCAAGTCCTTGCAGTGTCAGGAGAGCCAAGGGCAGAGAGTTGAGCAAAGTGGAAGAAATGGCACAGAAAGCAGTACAAAAGCACACACGGCCCTCAAGTTCCAGCTGTGGCCCTCCGAAGTCCGGTGGAACTTCAGCTCCCAACGAAGGGCTAGTAGGCATCGTCCTGGCAGGTTCAACGGTGCAATCCAGCCAGTCGGTGGCAATGGGACGAGGGTATCCTGCCTGGAGTTTGAGGGTGTCCTGGTCAAACTTCCAGTACTCTTGGCCCTTAAAAACATACAGTGTTCCTGCAGCATGACAGAGAAGTGATAGCAGCAATATATTAACACAGTGTTGCAGAAGACTGAGAATAGCCCCTGCAATAATATACAGAATGGTCTGGAAGATGGAGAGGAAGCAATATTGCATCATAAATAGAAATGTTGTTGCTTCTGTGTCCAATATTCAAGCTGAGAATGCTGTGGTCCTAATGAGAACCAAGAATGTTCAGTGGTCACAGAAAGTTGGTAGCTGAGTGTTGATGGACAGGGAGAAAAGTGAGGGTAAAATGCAATGGAGGCCACAATGCTGAACAACACTCCTAGAAACTGCAACATTCTGGAGCAGGTTCTGCCTCTTAGAATAAATTATTACTAGGAGAAAACTGGTTGCCAGAAACAAGCTAATTTTCTAAATGCAGTTGTATCCCTACTAGCACTAGCTCCATGGGGAAGCATTTACAACAAGGGAACTACAGGGAGTATCCCCCATTTGCCTTCTGTTAAATGGGTGCTTTAGCACTGGGCACACCAGCATGCAACTTATACTGTGACAATGCTCAAAATACACTTTCAAAATGTACCACTGACCCCAGAGGTTTGTGGACCCTGATGGTAAATCATCTTTTTTTTTTACTTTACCATCATTTCACAGGATATGGATTCTTTCTTCCATGCGGCACACCTTGTGCAAAGGACCTGACTGTGGAGTCCTTGGCGCTCTCTGAGCTTGATTATTTGCTTGCAGACATTTCATTACCCAACTAGGTAACATCATCAGTGCTGGTGAATGTGGGGTTTGCTCCCTGTTTATACTTGGCACTCAGACAAATCAGCCATCAATAGATACATAGAGATAAACTCAAAAAAGACCAGAACGCATCCTCTCCAGCAACCAACACCCAGATAAGCAGGGATTAACACCAGACAAACAATCAAGCAGGAAACAATACTCTAATCAAGGAACTACCAAAAAGAAAACCACACCCCCACCAACATTGGTAGGGCAAGCTACTGAATATAAACAGGGAGTAAACCCCACACTCACTTGCACTGATGATGTTGCCTAGTCACTAATGAAATGTCTGCAAACAACCAAGCTCAGACAGCACCAAGGACTCCACAGTTCAACCCTAAACTACACTTATACTCCTCTATTGGAAGGGACCTGACTGTTCTGCACTTCTTGAAAGGATAGGATAGATTGGAAAGCCTGATTGCATTTCACAATTCCCAGGTGCCGAGATCAACAGGAATGCAGTGAAAAATCTGAGTCAGCCCAAGGTCAGCCTGAGGACAACAGACCAACTCACCATCACTTTCACTCAAGACAGAGTCCACAGAAGAGGAGAACTGCTCCCAGGACACTTTGTGGAGGGGGAAGTCTTCCTCTATGTGCCCTGTGGTTTCATCATAGCACCAGTGGAGGTCTCCCTTGAAGAAATAGGTTTTCTGGTCTAAAGGCCAGGAGAAAGCACCACTGATGCCACCTTGGGGCAGACCAAAATCTGTGACAGGGCGAGGGTAACCCTCTTCCACACTATTGTCCTTAAATACCCAGTAGAGAGGTCCTTGAGTAAGAAAAGAAGAGAGAATTGTCAGAAATAGCTTATTACTGAAACCATTAATTCAGGATTATGTGCCCTATGCAAAACAACTTGAAATCATCTCGCTTATTGCCCACCAGGCTCCTTGCCTCACCTGATTAACAAAAATGGGAGGGAAGGAGATAACAAGCATGTTGCAAAGCAAATCATCAGCTTTTAGCATCTTCTTTATCTCTAGGATTTTCCCCAAGCTAGATGCTTTCTAGAGGTGTGGCCTTCACCTCCCAGAAGTCTTAGTATTACCATATCGGCTGGGGAATTCTGTGAGCTGAAGTCCTATTTCTAGAGAACAGACAGCTGGGGAAGGCGGAAATATGAAAATATGCCCACTGGTCTCAAAAGTTATGGGCTAGATAGGCAGCATCTGGGGGTTTGGGGGATCAGTCAAGTCTTTTGGTTCAGAGCAATATATAGCTGAAATTCAGATGATGAATTGGAATATGATCCTGGTAATTTGCTGGCAGGCAATGCCAGCTCAAGGGTATATGGTGCCCCTGGGCCACATTGATTGATGCTGCCATCTCCCACTGATGCAAAGATTTGCATTTTTAGAAGGAATCGAAAGGAAGGTTGAGAAGCCCTTGTTGGTGGGCTCCTCAGGAGTATTGATTGGCCAGGCTTTAGAAAAAGACTGCTGGACAGAGTCAGTCTGACTCTGCAGATTTCTGTCTGGGCCTGCAGTTGATTATAAAGAGGGTGAGTGTGTATTTTGTGCTTTGAAATTAAACTAATTGCTTTAAAGTAATTAAATAAGCCTGCTTATCCTGTGCTTTGTTCTGCACTCTGTACATCTGCCCTGCAATAGCCATTGACTAAAAGCGCATCACGTTTTACTGGAACAGCATATCCTCATGCCTTTGCCCAGGCCACTTTGCACTTATGATCTTCTCACCACTGAAAAAGAGGATGCGGTGATCTGCAGGTCTCTCATAAACAGCATCCACTTTGCGGAGAGTGGAAGGGAATCCTCGCCAGAAGTGAGTGATCAAAGCTGGTTGTGGAGAAGTGAGGTGCCGGCCTTGGGACAGACGCCAGAAGTACTCATCTGCCACAAGAGCAGGAATTGAAAGAAGAGATATTAATTTCCATCTAAAAGATGACCCTCTTACCTTGGTAGATCACCTTAACAACGGTTGGGTTTTTTTGTGTGTGCAGTCATGGATGAATATGAGCCTATCGAATGCATTCAAAAAGGATAATGAAGAATTGGAAAAAGACAATCAGAAGAATTAGAAGGATGGAATAATTATGTTTTGGGCTTCTTTTAAAAAAGGCAAGTAAGGGGAGACATGACTGAAGTTTATAAAAATATGTATGGTATGGAGAGAGGGGGCTTGCCCTGCCTCTTAATACTGGAATTTCTACTGAATTAAAAAAGAGGGGGCTAGTGACTTAGAATCTGGGCCCCTTGACCCTGTGCCCAATAGCCCAGCCATAATAACACTCCAGCCTCTTTGGTGCAGTGTGAGAGGAAGAAACTGCTTCCCAAAGTCAAAGTCAACTGACCTTTGAAAAAAAATGTTTCTCCTCGGATCTGAGCGACAGCATCGATGTTGGAGGTACATCGGTCAGGAAATCCTTTTCCTGGTCTGGAACAAAGAAATTGGGAAAAGACGACGACTCAGCCAGCGGGATTTTTCAACACTGTGTTGGCTTTATTTGAGAGGAAAATGTGCCAGCAGTGTGGAAATAGTTTATCCCAACATAGCGATTTGTATTGTTCTGTTATGAAATATATTTTGACCATACCCATTAAATCTCCCTCTAGAAAAATCAAAGCAGAATACATTCATATCCTCTTCCCATGTTATCCTTACCCCAACACTGGGTCAAGGTGAGGGGCAGAAAGCATTTTTGTATCTCGCCTGAATTTGACTAGTTCAGGTTCATTTGTTCAAAGTGAAAAAGCTTCAGAGCAAAACAGAGGTTCAACCAGCGTCAGACCATGATTTCATAGCCAGGCTTTTCTGGAGTCACTAGCTAAGTTTTGACCCCATTTTTGAACAAAATGGGAAAATATGTTTAGTGGTAGATTTCCTGGTTTGTTTGCTTGCCAGCTTGGATGGAAAAACAAAGTCCTCCTTTGGTGGCCAAAATACCTTATTTACATCTTGGCTTATTAAGCTGAGATATCAAGATCAAAACATGGCCATATGTCCAACCTACCAGGTCTCTGTGAGCTTCAGAGCTAAACAGGGATTAGACCTGGTTTCTCCAGTCTTAGTCTAATATGAACTGTAATGTTATTTTGGCATTAGGAAGTAACATATTGCTTAAATATAAACTGCGTTATTAGACAAAGGCAGAAATTATTCAGCCATATTAACAATGAAAGCAGAAGTTTTATCTGTAAGTAAGGACTTTATCATGGCCTCTTAGTCTCTGAATCTGCGGGTTGGTCTAAAATTAATCAATAGTAAAAAAAACATTGAGGGAAAAATGGCAGAGTTAGTGGTCCCATTGCATACAGTCACATAACTGTGAAACATCTGAGATACAGTGAAGTGGTGCAAGCATTGATAGACCATTCTGGTTTCTAAATTATGGCTGGTTTAGACCTTAGTGTGCTGTCTGAACCCAGATAGTTGTACCTTGTACAATAAATCATAGTCAAACCATGGCTTAGTAGGATGTGTGAGTCTAGTTCAGTGTTTCTCAACCTTGGCAACTTTAAGACAGGTGGACTTCAACTCCCAGAATTCCCCA